CGGACTGACTGCCGGACTGACTGTCTGACTGACTGTCTGACTGACTGTCTGTCTGACTGACTGTCTGTCTGACTGTCACAGACCAAAGGTGACCCAGAGGTCACAGCCCCCCTGACCCAGAGGTCACAGCCCCCCCCCCGTGGCTCTGGTAACCAGATCTAATCAACAGGGGACATTTAACCTTCTCCTCCACCAGGGGGACCATGGTGGAGGTCACCTGGTGTACTGGGGGTCTTTACCTTGTGGAAGCTTCCGTGGAAGATCTTCTTCACCAGGGCGTGGTCGAAGGTGACCCTCTGGACCTCGCCGCGCTCGTCCTTGTTGTAGAAGGACACGGTCTGACTGGTGGCTGAGCAGAAGGAGAGAGAACACGGTTGAAATCAACCTCTGGGCTGAGGACCCAGCCGCTGTCGCACACTTACGGTCCACGCTGACTCCAGTCTCAGGTTTGTGGTCTGAACTCGACACCTGCCAGAGGTCGAAGGCCTCCTTGGGTGAGTCGGGGAGGAGGCGGAACATGAGGATGAGGGTGTAGGTGTGAGGGAGGCCGTCAGGGTGGATGTCACTGCACAGGAGACAGAGGAGACACGTGTGTTTCTGAAGGTTCAGGACGCCCCCTTGTGGTCTGGGCCCACCAACCTCCCTGGTGATGTACTGATGACATCGTGCTGTGAGACTCACGTGGTCGGCTGCGTCAGAAACGCGTTCTTGTGGAGTCTGTAGGAGTCGAAGCTGTTGAAGGAGCCGGGCTCCAAGGAAACGCCTCTGACTGAACTGTAGGTCTTCTCCGTCAGGTTGAAGGCCTCCAACATCCTGAAACCTGACAACACACACACACACACACACACGCACACACACGCAGCGTGTTCGTCACCTGACCTCCATCAGTTTACACCGTCAGACGACCTGCTCCATGTACTGACCTGGAGACGTGAAGCCGTTCAGGAAAATCAGCGGACAGGCTGGGGGGGGGGGGGGGGGGGGAGACAAAAACCAGATGTCAGAAGATCTGAGAAGATCTGAGAAGATCTGAGAAGATCTGAGAAGATCTGAGAAGATCAGGCGATGAACTCACAGGACGTGGCGGTTTCACAGATGAAGGTGATCAGGTTTTCTCTGATGGTGGCAAAGGCGTCAAAGTCGTCCACCACAAACACATGTCGGTCACTGGGTTTGCTGCCGATCTCTTGCAGCTCCACAAAGTCCACGTCGGCCACACCGATGGCAAAGACGCTGTAGCCTGAGGGCAGAGGAGCGGTTTAAAGGTCAAGAGGTCAGCTCAGGTCAGGACGGGGGTCAACTACAGACCACCAGAAAACACAGAAATAACTATCTTTTCTCCATGTGAGCGCAGTACCTGCGTGCTGCAGCTTGGCGGCGTGCTGCTTCACGTCGTCCTGAGATCGGCCGTCGGTGATGGTCACCACGATCTTAGGGACGTTTCTTCTCATTCCGTTTTCGGCCGAAAAGGCTTTTTCGTAGGTGTGTTTCAGGGCGATGCCTGGACGACAAACACACACGGTCACATGGTCACATGTTGTTCTGATGGTACCATGTTGTTCTGATGGTACCATGTTGTTCTGATGGTACCATGTTGTTCTGATGGTACCATGTTGTTCTGATGGTACCATGTTGTTCTGCATGGTACCATCAGAACAACATGGTACCATGGTACCATGTGACCACGGTACCATGTGACCACGGTACCATCAGAACAACATGTGACCATCAGAACAACACGGTTCCATCAGAACAACACAGATCTCCTCCTGCTCTTTAGTCTGGTAGGAGGTCCAGCTCAGACCTGTCTTGGTGTTTCCTCCTCTGTAGCGGATCTGATGAAGCGCCGACATGGCCACGCCCTTGTCCTGGTAGGCGTTGAGCCTGAACTCCGTCTTAGCGCTGTCGCTGAACTGGACAAACGACACCTGGTGGAAGAACGTATAAAAACAGGATCAAGATTAGGAAACAATAAACAAACATTGAACTAAACTCTAATCTGACTCCAAATCCATCAAGTTTCTGATCTAATCTCAGCTGTAATCCAAGTAAATAAACATTGAACTAAACTCTAATCCAACCCCAACTCTAATCTAATCTCAAGTTTTATTCTGACTTTAATCTGACCTAATATCCAAAGGTTTTTATTGGGATGAATTAGGATTTGTCACCTGCATTCCCGATGGTCCGATGACGTCGAAGGCTCCGACGACTTCGGAGACAAAGTGAACCACTTTGGTGAAACTTTCTTCTCCGATGCTCCAGGAGCCGTCGATGACGAACACCACGTCTGCTTTGGCCCCTTTACAGACTGGGGGGGGGGGGGGGGAGGGGGGAGACAGCAGATTAAATCTAATCCAGAGATTAAGGCGGTGGAACAGACGACCCAGACTAAACTTTTTGTCTTCAGACACAGAAACCAGAAGTCTTTCTTTTCTTCACTCTGCTCTGGCTTCTAACATGAGAACATGTGGTGACCATTAAAACCACTGCTGGACCGAGGCCGACCCAGAGCTGCTGGAACCTTCTGTGAGGCCAGAAGCAGCTTTTCACAGCCAGAGAGGACGTTGAATGAAACGGACCCGCAGTGATTCCATGTTCTCTCAGCGGAATGTTGGCGCGCTGATCCTCAGGATCCTGGAGGAACCTGGAGGATCCTGGAAGAACCTGGAGGATCCTGGGAACCTTCCAGACCTACTCGGAGTTACACTTACGATTTTTACGAGTGTGGTTGAATGAGGTCACTGTGTTATGTTCAGGGAACAATGTTCTCTGAGATCCTGCTGAGTTACAGGTGCAACATCTGAGAAAAAAAACGGGTTCACTCTCCTCGTCAGAAGTCCAGAGAGAAAACCAGGGATTTCAGCTGAGGTGGACACAGGAAGTGGCTCAGTGGTGGATCAGCCACTGCTGAGTCACTGGTTTTCTCTATGGACTTCTGAATGGAAGAAACGGGAGAAAAACTTTAGTGACGATTATCGTCCGACTCACCTGCCCAGGCTGGAGGAATGGTGGGGGGCGGGGCTGGAGTCGGTGGGAGTGTCGCAGACGGAGTGGGCCTCATCACTGACACCAAAAGAAAACAAATGATATAAAAGATTTAATCTGATCTGATCTGATCTGATCTGAACTCTGGCAGTGATTTACGTGTCTTCTCGTTGGCGCTGACTCCAGGTCCCTCCAGATTGGGGGTCTGGACGTAGACGGTAGCGGTGTAAAGAGCGTCAGGGGAAAGACCATCAAAGCAGTACTGAGGTGCTCCGGCTGGGATGGTGATCTCATGCTGCCCCCTGCTGGATGCTGAAAACACGGGAGAATCAAAACCAGCCAGTTAGCTTGTCGTCGTGCAGCGATATCCTGCTCCGTGCCTTTGAAGCCACAAATTCACAAATGAAGTATTTCAAATGAATCAGTGCAACAAAGGTGTTGTGCTGCCTCCTGCTGGTTACTGGAATACATGACCAGCTCTAGTTTCCGCTTTATTTTAAATGTTCACAGCAAATCGCCCCCTGCTGGACGCGAACAGCACACATGAATCTAACTATTTAATCAAAGATTAGAGTCCAGTAGCAGCAGCGACGTCGGTGTCGTTGTGGTGTTTGTCTTTGAAAACTTACGATCCACAGGGTGGAGTTTGATCCTGTAGGAGGTGGCCGCCCTGTGAGGACTCCACTTGATGCAGAACTTGTCGTGATCCACGTTGTAGGTCTCGATGTTGGTGACGTTCAGATAAACTGAGGAAGTACAAGCAGACGTTTGGATCTGATCTATATTTTGATTTCACTTCTTTGTTGTGAACATACGTGTGGTTCCCTGGCCCTGCAGTGGACCGCTCATGCCCCCCGTGTACTGAGCCATCACTTTGACGTCGTACGTGGTTCCTGGCTGCAGGTTGTGCAGAGTGTACGACGCCACGTCGCCCACAAAGAGGTCCACGGTCTGGTCTGAGCCTGTGAGGACCAGCGGAGGACGGAGGAGACAGAAAATACTCCTTTAGTCTTGACATGGACTCTGAGACCAGAGAACCTGCTGGTACCAACAGTACACCATCTGACCTGCAGGGAAGTAGACGAGTTTGTAGCCCTGGACTGGAGCAGACACGGGGTCCCAGGAGACTCTGAACCTGGTGTACCACTCATCTGAGACCCTGAGGTTCCTGGGACTCAACAGACCAACTGACAGACACGGAGAACACAGTCAGAACCTCAGTCCAAGGTCTAGGAACTTTGACCACAGAGGTGGAGGAAACATTAGTTCAGACCAAAGTCCATGGAGAAAATCAGAGATTTTAGTTCAGACCAAAGTCCATGGAGAAAATCAGAGATTTTAGTTCAGACCAAAGTCCATGGAGAAAATCAGAGATTTTAGTTCAGACCAAAGTCCATGGAGAAAATCAGAGATTTTAGTTCAGACCAAAGTCCATGGAGAAAATCAGAGATTTTAGTTCAGACCAAAGTCCATGGAGAAAATCAGAGATTTTAGTTCAGACCAAAGTCCATGGAGAAAATCAGAGATTTTAGTTCAGACCAAAGTCCATGGAGAAAATCAGAGATTTTAGTTCAGACCAAAGTCCATGGAGAAAATCAGAGATTTTAGTTCAGACCAAAGTCCATGGAGAAAATCAGAGATTTTAGTTCAGACCAAAGTCCATGGAGAAAATCAGAGATTTTAGTTCAGACCAAAGTCCATGGAGAAAATCAGAGATTTTAGTTCAGACCAAAGTCCATGGAGAAAACAGGTCATTTTCTGTCAATGACTCAGCGGTTGTTGGTTCACTACTGCCTCCATCACTGAGTTCTAAGGAGTTATTTTGTAACGTCACTGTTGGAAAACTTTTCTTCAAGAATTATCTCAGTGACTTAAAATGACCACAGGAGGCAGTAGAGGACCAGCGGCTCAAGTGTCCTCTGATTTTCTCTATGGACCTTTGATTGGGAGAGTGAGGCACTGACACACACACACACACACACACACACACACAGACAAACCTGTGCGCCCGTTGCCGTTGAGCGTTCCTCCTGGACCTTCAGCGTACACGGCCTCCACGGTGATGTTGTAGGGAGTGTCTGGACTCAGGTTCTGCAGCATGGCGTTGTTTCTGTTTCCTGGGACCACAGTCTGATGAGGTTCAAACAAACAACAACGACAGCTCCTTCAGTCTTTCGTTGGTGAACAGATAGATCAACTGTTGATAAGTGTTTCCCACTTTTTTGTTAAACCTATTTTTCCAACTGAAAGACAACTGAACCAGAGCTCAGAGTCTCTGTCAGAGACATCACTGAGTTCTAATGAGTTCCTCTGTGACTTCACTGTTGGAAGACAACTGAACCAGAGCTCAGAGTCTCATCTGTGAGTCATCTGTGCAGAATCACCGCAACGACACAGAGTGGCCACAGGAGGCAGCAGAGGACCAGCAGTGTCTGTGTCTGTGTGAGGTAAAATCTAGAACCTTCCATCTGTCACTACTCCTGGTTCTACTGGCACTCGGTTCCATTTCCCTCCAGGAGGAGAGTCTGGCGGAGACAGGAAGTGTGTTTGTGTTTTGGCCAGAGTGAACAAACACAAAGCTGTTCTCTCACTGACAGACGCTCACTCCTGATAATCCTAATAATCACGTGTAAACACTCGGACAGATTGTTCCACTCAGGAACCCTTTCATCCGGACCCTTGACTCACCAGCAGCAGGTGCGTCACAAAAACGCTGTCAGGAGAACGCGGGCAGCTGTGCCGTGACTCCGCCCACCGCTGCGCTCCAACAACATTAATATGACCTCCATTAGTCGCACAAACTGCGCACTCTGCTTAACTGAGCCGGTAATTAGTTTCTCATTTGATTTGTGATGTGAAGGAGCCAAAGGAATTCTGGGATGTGACTTCACCACATAGTTTGAGCAGAACATCAGAGCACGGAGAGATTGTCTGGAACATTTATCCCAGGAAGAACGAGTGAAACGTAGAAAACTCCCCTTTCTCTCTGTTTGTTTCCTGAGCTAACGACAAACAGCTAACTGGTCATCGTTTGGCTAGCAGACCAGTGGTATTCTATTCTTTAGCTACGTTAGCTACGTTAGCTACGTTAGCTACGTTAGCTACGTCAGGGCCTTAACTCAGACCTTTTTACTGTGGCTTTTCCCTGGTGTTGACATTGATGATGTCACATGATGATGTCACACCACCACCTCTGTATGAACACCTGAAATGACGGCATTACAAACTCACAAACTCAGTGATGGGGTCTCCGGTCAGGGGGGCGTAGGCGATCTTGTACTGTCGGACCGGACCCTCGGCGTGGTCCCAGCTGACGGTCATGGTGCTGGTGGTGGCGTCAAACACCCTCATGTTCCTGGGACCGGCACGTGGCACTGCAGCGGCACAAACACAAAACATTTGACCTGGTTCTGAGCTGGACTGTTGGACTTGTTAAGACTCAAACCCCCGCCACGGTGTAAGACCCAGAGTGTCCAGCAGGGGCCGTTTATCCACAGTGACACAAACACCAGCGTGAACATGGTTTCACCTACGTGTTTTTCCATTTCCTGTGACTGGAGAACCTTCAGTGTCTGCATACAGAGCTGAGACCCCCACGGAGTACGGAGTGTCCGGGATCAGGTTGTCCAGGAAGACTGTGTTCAGGTTCCCTGGAACCAGGACCTGTGGAAGATGAAGAAGATGAAGATGAAGAAAGAACACACCCTGGTGGACCTGGACCCTGGTGGACCTGGACCCTGGTGGACCTGGACTTCCTGGAGGTCTTCCTGTCTCCACATCCTTCTGTTTTCTTGTTTTGGTTTCTTTTTTTTTTAAACGTTTTGTGTTTGGTGAAAAACCAACATGTGTTTTTGTCGTGTTGAAACCAGATCAATGTCAGCGTGAGATTTTAAAAACAGCAGAACCAGCGAGGCTGCTGGTTTGAATCCACTCTGCAGCCTCAGGGCATCAATTCAAACCACTCACATGGAACATGTGGTGTGGTTTAAACCCAGTGGATCCTGGGTGGATGGTTCTGCTGGTTCTGCTGGTTCTGCTGGACCTCTTCAGACCCAGAGTGAGGAGAGAGGAACCACACAGTGAAACAGTGACTCAGAGTCTCCGTCTCACACGTGGTCTGATGTGGGTCAACTCCAAACCTCTGTCACGAAGACCACGTCTTCTCTGTCTGAGATCCAAACAGAAGAACAGAGGAACCAGGTCTGGGGTCCTCAACACCAGAGTCTTTGTCTCTTTGAAGTTGACCCACCAGACTGTCTGGACTGGTGAAGACCTCATGAAGAACTCACCGTCTCCGCAGGTCTGCCTCCACTCAGTGGAGTGTAGGTGACCCTGTACTGCTGGACTTGGCCACTGGCAGGTTCCCAGCGGGCGTTCAGGCTGTTGGGGGTGGGGTCGTAGACCTGGATGTTCCTGGGAGGAGTCCGTGGAACTGTGGTGGATGGTTCTGACATGACACAGTTTAAAAAGAAATACAAAGTCACACATTTTAAGAGGTACATGGATGAGGAAGGTGTCAGGTCCAACGGCATGTTTGTATTTCTAGACAGGTGTGTGTATGGACTACTGAACTAACTCACTGTTACTGCTGTGTATATGTATGTGTGTGTGTGAGTGTCTACACGGGGTAGACTCAAAGGAAGACTGCCATTCGTTAGCTAAGGAGAAGGAGAAGGGCTGGGAGTTCATACGTTTTACTTCTTCCCATTCCTTTTTGAAGATGCATTCATGTTTGTCAATAATCAATACGTATTCCTTTTCTTTCATTTTCATATTCAAAATAAACTTCAATCAATCAGTCAATCAATCAATCAATCAATCAATCCTGTTAGAAGACCACTGGTGGACCACATGTGTCCGAGGCTACTCACGTGTCTTGCCCTTGTCGGACAGACGCAGACCTTCTCCTTCTGGATAAACGGGCACCACGGTCACAGTGTAGGGTGTGTCAGAGAGGAGGTTCCTCAGGACGGTGGAGGTGGTTCCACCAGAAACCTGCTCCTGTGAGCACATTTAGAACCAAACACCTTTATACGTCACCAAACCTCATGGAGAAAACCAGCGATTTCAGCTCTCAGTGACACAAACGGACCACCGGAGGCAGCAGTGGACCGGCAGCTGCTTAAATCCCAGAGGGACTCGTTCATCTCACCATGTCCTCGGCTCCTCCTGATGCGGGGACATAGAAGAGACGATACTGGCGAACGTTGCCCTCTGCTGGCTCCCAGCGGACCTTCAGGGAGCTGGTGGTGGGGTCGGTGACCTGCAGGTTCTTCACTCCTCCCAGAGGTTCTGCAGACAGGACAGAAGTTCACCCTCACTGTTCTCTGGACCAGAAGCTTTGACGGCTAACTTTATTTTGGCTAACTTCTCATTGGAAGCTCCTTTTCTTCGACCTACTTGTCTTTCCGTTCTCCGATGTGCGTTTTCCCTCAGTGTCAGAGTAAATGGGAACCAGCGTGACCTTGTACTCGGTGTCAGGCTGGAGCTCCCTGAGGACCGTGTTGGTCGACATTCCTGACACCTGGGTCTGTGAAGGAGCGGTGGGAAAACGGTGGTTCTGGTTTACTGAGCTCAGACCAAAGACCAAGACCCGACCTGAAGACAAACAAGAACCTAAGAACCCACCATGCTCTCGGCTCCTCCTGCTGCAGGAACGTAGATGACCTGGTACTGTCTCACGTCGCCCTCTGCTGGTTCCCAGCGGACCCTCAGGGAGCTGGTGGTGGGGTCGGTCACCTGGAGGTTCTTCACTCCACCCAGAGGTTCTGCAGGACAGTGGACGAACCATGTTATCAATTCCATGGGCTGCAGCCCACGTGGGCTGGACCTTTTCTTAACAAGGATCTTAACGACCATGAGAAGGTCTCCCAACTCAGTAGGTCGTGGGGGAAACTAAACAAAAGGGTCAGCGTTAGCCAAACAAGTGTTGACGGTTAGCTTAAAAAAGTGGGAAAATAGTGGGAAAGAGCAACGATGACGAGTCTTTGAAGTTAACCTCCTTAGCTTAGCTTAGCCAAATCACAATCTGCCAAAGATAATTAAAGAAACAAACAAAAGTGGAAAGTCTTCATCAGCAGATGTTTTTTTTTAATTCCAGGCGCTGACTCTAAAACCTGGAGCCATAAAAACTCAGATCCAGTCAACAAAGGTTTTTTTCTTTTCACGACTTCTCTCTGGTAATAAAACATCAGTTTGGAACGTCAACCAGTTCATTTCCTCAGACTGTGGGAGATAAAACTCTGTCTGTTTGGACCTGAATCCATCATTACACTTTTATTAAAGGCACATTTCTCAGCTAGTTTGTCGAACAGTGAGAGGGATTTGTGGAAATGTCCGTCAGACGTCAAAGACCGCCGCTAATGTCTGAGGGCTAACTTAGTTTAAGCTAACTTTTATTTCCATCTACGTCTCTGACCGTGGACGTTCTACTCTGTGGACGACTTTCATCTTCAACCATGAATGTGGTCCACATGGAGCTGATGTTCCTGCTCCAGCTCCCCCTCATGTGGGCTGGATGTGGAGTGCAGATGTTTCTTCAGCTGCTGTGACGCTGCTTTGAACAAACGTTGGCCAACGAAGAACCAAAGACACACACACACACACACACACTCTCACATTCACTCTGGTCAATCTAACACGTAAGGTCCTGGGGTCAGTGGTCCCAGGTCCTGGGGTCAGTAGTTCCAGGTCCTGGGGTCAGTAGTCCCAGGTCCACGTACATGTCCACGTCTTCAAACCCATCGATTTCAACCTGGTTAACGTTGAGCTAACCAGATTACCTTTATGATTAGCTTTAGCTGCTGTCATTTACTGCAGTCCCGCTGAATGTCATTAGTGAGTGTTTGGATTGGACCACCCTGAGACTGGGACACACAGACCACGGTCCGAGGACCTTTTTAAATCCCATTTAACTCGATTTAACGATTCACTCACTGGTCTTCCCGGTCTCGTCCTGTCGTATTCCCTCCACGTCGGGATAAACAGGAACCACAGCGACGTTGTAGAGCGTGTCGGAGTCCAGGTTTCTCAGGATGGTGCTGGTGGTGCCACCGGACACCTCCTCCTGCCCCGGGACAGAAAGAGTTAGCTGTTAGCAACAACAATGACCAGGCGGAGACAACTTAAAGAGAACAAGCTAAACGATGACTGAAACGATGGCTAACAAGGAGAAAAAAAAACAAAAAATGAAATGAATGTTTCTTCAATTTTAAAGCTGGTAGTTTGAAACTCTGTCATACCGTTCGCTCTTCACCTCCAGGCTGAGCGGCGTACAAAACTTTGTAGCTGCGGACATTTCCCACAGCAGGTTCCCAGCGCACTTTCAGCGTATTAAAGGTCGGATCAATCACCTGTAAGTTCTTGACTCCGCCCAGTGGCACTGAGGAGTAAGGATTAGTGGAGTGGAGTGAATAAAAGTGTCACAAACACGGTGACATCATCTGCAAACACAAACACGTCCTCTCACATGTTTTCCCATTTTCAGACTGAGATTTTCCCTCCATCTCAGGGTAAACAGGGACCACGGTCACCGTATATTCTGTGTCTGAGTCCAGGTTCTTCAGGACCGTGGAGGTGGTGGACCCCGACACCTGGTCCTGGTTCAAGACAAGGAAGAAAAAACAGAGAGAAAATGGTTCAAACAAATCAACAATTAACACTGTGAGGGTAAAACAAGGTGAACGTTAGCCTAAAACAGCTAAACAAAATATGAAGATGAAGATGAAGATGAAGATGAAGATGAAGCAGAAAAAGCTGAGGTCATGGAAACATAAAGACGGGTTTGAAATGTTAGCCAAAAACAACCAGTGTGAGATAAACAAGGCTAACGAGGAGCCAGAAGTCAATTAAATGTTTAAGTGTAAACAGTAAAAACACCAGCAGTGTTTGAAGACGGCGGTGGTTTGTTCTCTGTCGGACTAATCCAAGGTGAAGTCCTCCTCACATCTGCTCCAGGATCAGATGATTCCACTCTTCTCCAAATGAAATGATCTCATTCCACCAACAGAGTCAGATAAGGTGAGGGGAAACGTGAGAAAACCCCCCCCCCCCCCCCCCCCCCCCCACCATATTCCATTTAATACTTCAGAGAAAACAGACTAAACTCTGTCACATCAGTGTTCACTGGTCCATGTTTTTTCCACGGAGAAAAATGAAACAGTTTTACTTCAATATTGATGTTCCTGCTCTGACAAGGTCTGAAGGTCTGAGTCTCTGAGGACAAACCACTGGTCTTCTCCATTTAGGTTTGGTATGGGAGTAAAATGGAACAAACAAACCACTCACTGACCCACACCAAGAAAATCAGAGGCTTTAGTTCAGACCAACGTCCATGGAGAAAATGAACAGTGATTTTAGGAGACAGAGACGCAGCAGCTGTCAGTCAGCTCTCCGCTGCCCCCTATGGTCAGTTTATGTGAGATTTTCTGTGGTTGTAAAAGTTTGTTAAACCTCTCCTGACAGCAGCCGGCGTGGTTTCATTAAAAACAGCCTGTTTCATGTCATACTTCAGCAAGCTAATGGAGCATGGACAGAGCTCCGAGGTTCTGGTTGCACTCCAACATCTGGAAGTGGAAAGTCCTGACTGTGACGTCAGAGCTCTGACTCACAAGGAAAAGGCTGGAGATGAAGCTGACGCTGCTAAAACTAAGACTTCAGCTCCAACTATTGCAGCTTAAACTGAAGCTGTCGTGACATCAGACAAAACTGACGCTGCTGCTAATGCTAACATCATAAAACTAAACACAACTGTTAGTAAAGGCGCTGCGTTCTGACCTCTGTCTCAGCTGAACGTGCTGAAGCTAAACTAGCTGCTAACATCGCTGCAGCTAAAGTTCATGAAACCAACAGTAGCTTAGCTGCGTGGTTGCTAACGTTGTCAATGTGTCCACTAGGACGTCTGCTGGTGCTAAAGGTCGTGGAGGTGTGGATGAAGGTGAGGAGGTCAGTGAGGTCTCACCACTTCCTGCTCTCCTCCTGCCACTGGAGTCCAGATGACAATGTACTCCCGCACTTTGCCCTCTGGTGGCTCCCAGCGGACGTTGAGGGTGCTGGTGGTGGGATCGGTCACCTGCAGGTTCCGAACGAAGCCCAGAGGCTCTGACAGAAAAAACAAACAAAAAAAGAAGCCCAGAGGCTCTGACAGAAAAAAACAAAACAACAACAACAATTGTAAAAGAGAAAATCAGTGATTTCAGCTCGCATTGAGCTGTTTGGCTCACTGCTGCCTCCGGAGGTCAGTTTATGCTATCACATTTGAAGTGGACCAGAGTTTGCTCATCGTTTTGTTTCCTGTCCTTGAACAAAAACGGAACATTTTTTCAGGGCATTTGGAGCCAATCAGAACTCAGAACCAGACAGAAGTCACTCACTGGTCTTGCCGTTGTCCGACAGGCTCGGTCCGTCTCCTTCAGCGTAGACAGGAACCACGGTGACGGAGTAGCGAGTGTCTGGAAGCAGTTTGTCCAGAATGGTGGAGGTGGTGCTCTCTGACACTTGCTCCTGCAACAGGGGGCAAAAACAGTGAGATCTGCCCTCGGCCAGCAGGGGGCGCTGCTGACTAGGCTTGAGGAGAAGGTCCTTCAATCTGTGGCTCACTTTTGATTATGATACACTGATTAAATCAGTTCTAAACCGTCTGGTCAGATTCCCCTCAGTGACACAGAGCGACCACAGGAGGCAGCAGAGGGCTGACATAACTCTGATTGTGGTTTTTATTGTGTATTTAACACGAGCTCAGTCTAATTCTTCCCATTTTCCACATACATCTGGAGCCACACTATTCCACTGTGACTCATGTTTACTGTTTCCCTCCTCAACATATGGAAGTGTTCACATTCCTGCAGCACAGGTGGTAGAACATTCCTCCTGTCACCGACAGAGAGTCAGAAATCCTCTCTTCTTCCGTCTGAACGTCAGGATTAACCAGGTTCTGCTCAGATTCTGGGTCCACAGGATTAGGAGGCCTTTTTCTGTTTGAAGGTCTAATCCTGACTGAAGACTGGCTCGAGGCTGAAGCCCAGCTGAGAGCTTTCATCATCATCCAGGGATTAACTCTTCAGACAAAGTCCGACTGTGTGGATCCTGACAGGAAGAGCCGGAGATCAGAAGATCCCTGGTTCTCCTCAGGTTCTTTGTTTGACTCAGGTTGGAGTTTGAACCGTGTGATCCTGCTAAGATAACTCTGACTATCAGATTCATTTAACCAGCCTTCAATCAGATCAGACTTGAGTTTAGTGGCCTCTAGTGGACCGGATGAGCTCTTTTTATCAGCTGTTGGAGGC